AGTACCTCCTAAATGCCTCTAATCTTTCTAATCTAGTTGTGTGAGTCTGACACTTATCTGGACTAACTGGGGGTAACAGAATAGCGGGATTTTTGCTATTTGCATAATGACTGATTTTATTAGGTAAATGCGAAAACCTTTAAGGCAGACTAATGTGAACGCTCGTGGGTTCTTTCACCATTTATTCAGTTGTACTTTGTGCCGTCTCACTGTGAATTCACTGGACAGCTACTAAAGAGGCCAAAGGTATGCCGCTCCTGGGGATGTTGCGTGCTTGTTTAAATTATGTCTTTAGAATAAAAACTACACACAAACAGTAGCATTGACTGACCATTTATAAGAAGTGTTTGACTGCTTGACAATCCCATACAGTAAAGTAAGGAAGTGCAATAAGTGTATGTGACTCTCACGTATTTCCTTAAATGCATCATTAGGGAACTGAATAAAAAGCTGTATGACAGTAATGACGACCTGCGCTCGGCATTGGCAAGTGAAGCAGTTGCAGCTAAAAGAAGGGTAAGTCTCTTTTGTTCTAATAGCATGTTTTCCTATACCCTCTGGCTCTGTCAGGTAGAAGCTCACGGTCAACTGTTTTTTTTTTTCTTCTCCCTGACTTTCCTAATCTGCTCAACAGCTGTCTCCCCAAAATGAAATCCCAGCCAGGAGAATGAAACCCCTCCGACAGAGCACGCTCAACCATAGCGGGTATATAAAGATTTTTACACACCTGTATGCCTCTACCGATTGATGTCTACGCACTTAATTGTCACATCTAAAGCCATACTTTGCGTCGGGTGTTTTCATACAGCTTGGAGGTCCCGAGCAAACTGACCTACTCTCATGTGGCCACCTGGGCCGATAAATACCTGGACAGTGGGGTCTCCCTGCCGATGGACACAGCTGAGAGCTCGGGCAGTGACTACGACAGCGACGACAGCAGAAGCTCAGCGGAAACTGTGCACTTCAGTTACTCGTGTGTCCCATCTGACATCGAGGTGGGGGACAGGTCGAGGATCGCTCGATGCCAATACGCTCCTCTGCTCTCGGGGACATTGAATTTGTGTTTTTCTTACAGATATCAGAAGTGAAATCTGAAGCTGCCGTGTCAATGGCTCCGAGTATGGCCACCTCCATCGCTTCTTCCCTACGAAGACGTTTATCTGCCTTTTCTCCAAAGGTAAACCAGTTCTTGATTTAAAATTTTTGCATTTCCACTTTTCCTTTGGTTTCTTCTTTGGTGTTGTGTTTAGCGTTGCACTTTCTTGTAATTTTGTATTGATTTAAATTTTAGTTTTGTGTGCTGCGTAGTCTCATTTCTGAAAGGTAACTAAATGATGCTTGTTTTATATGGTCAGTGTTGGGTAACCTTGTTATCTTATGCTCCCTTTAAGCAGCCGTTGGAAGCAGACATGGAAGCATGTAAGGAGCCCACCCCGATGTACCGCCTGGTTTTAGCGGGAGACGCAGG